AAACATTGCTTTTCTATCACACAATAGGCCTGAAGCATTCTTCTACTTCAACCAACCAACGTGAATTCTTCTAATAACATCCTCATCCGTATCACCATCACTTTAAACAATAGACCCAAGATATTTAAAACTCTTGCACCTTTTAATGATTTGATCACCCATAATTACAATTCTGCCATTAAAACTGTTATTACTAAAATTACATTCCATGTATTCAGTTTTAGTTCTACTCAAACGAAGGTCATTAGATTCTAATGTAGACCTCAATAATTCAAGTTTTTCCTAAACTCTTTCTTTAGTCTTTACCACTTGAAGGATAGCTTCAGCAATAAACATACAACAAGGTACATTCTCCTATAAATGTCCGATAAGAGCATTCATAACTAAAGCAAAATGATATTGGCTTAAGGTCGGCCCCGATGTAATCCAACCGAAAAAGGGAAATATTTGGTCAATCCTTCTTCTGTTCGATCTTCTGCTCTTCTGTTCAATCCTTCTTCAGCAATAAACAATAATTAAAATATCCCAAGTAACATCTATAGTATACATATCTTTAACGATTTGAATCTAAGTCATATCAATACCTTTCTTCTCTAAAACTCAATATTGGAATTTTCCTAATTAAAAAAAAAAAATCTTAAACAACCTAAATCTTCGAAATTATCCATTACATGATTCAAACTTAACTTCAATGTAAACTTCATATTCTTAAAACTGATAATGCAAAAGAACATTTCAATTCCATTCTTGGGTCATATCTATAAAAAATGAAATAATCCATATGATTCATTGATTGATTTCTCACAACAAAATGAGATAATTGAAAGAAAGACCTACATCTATTTGAGGTTTCTCTCTCAATTATGATTTTTCATTAAGTTTCAAAATATTTATGGCCTGCAACTTACTTTGTCAATCGGATGCCTAATCATGTACTTAATTTCAAAATACATCTTCATGTTTTAATGATTATCTATCCTCACATCAGAGCTTCCTCTTCTACTATACCACTTTGCATCTTTGGGTGTGTATCATTTGTTCACAGCCATTCCCAAAATAGTATAAAACTTAACCCTAAATTTATGAAGTTTATTTCTTAGATATGGCTCTAATAAAAGGGGGTATAAATGTTACTCTTATGTTATCACATTTTGAAAAAATCAATCATATTACCTCAAATTTGATATTCAAGGGTAGAGTGCAAATAAACATTAATTTTAATTTTGGGATGTATTTGATGGCACTTACATGACCTCACTATCTACTCCAATTAGCCCTCCTATTCTGGTTGAGGATGTTCAACCAATCCAACCAACCCAACCTAAAGCCCATAACAAATAGCTTGATTGTACACAACGAGAAAAAAAAACTTGAGCGGGTGGAAGATAACTTGCAAGAATAGAACTGCTCAAATCAAAATTCGAGTCCACATTCATCTGAATTTTGGAGCAAGAGTCTAGAACTCGAGTTATCCCTTTCTCTTCTAATATTTTTTACAAGAAAAGTTGCATGAGATATCCAATTTAGGAGTATGTAGGTTATAAGAATATAAGAAGTTATTCGCATTCTACAAAAATTTTATTTCTAACTTTGATAGTGTATAGATTCCTAAATTCATTCACGAAGTTCTTAAAAATTCAGAATGGAAGAAAGTAATTAAAGAGGAGATTCAAACATTAAAATATAATTACACATGGAAATAAACATTAATTTTGGGATGTATTTGATGACACTTACATGACCTCACTATCTACTCCAATTAGCCCTCCTATTCTAGTTGAGGATGTTCAACCAATCCAACCAACCCAACCTAAAGCTCGTAACAAATAACTTGCTTGTACACAACGAGAAAAAAAAACTTGAGCGGGTGAAAGATAACTTGCAAGAACAGAACTGCTCAAATCAAAATTTGAGTCCACATTCATCTGAATTTTGGAGCAAGAGTCTAAAACTCGAGTTATCCCTTTCTTTTCTAATATTTTTGACAAGAAAAGTTGCATGAGATATCCAATTTAGGAGTATGTAGGTTATGAGAATATAAGAAGTTATTCGCATTCTACAAAGCTTTTATTTCTTACTTTGATAGTGTGTAGATTCTTAAATTCATTCATGAAGTTCTTAAAAATTCAGAATGGAAGAAAGCAATTAAAGAGGAGATTCAAACATTAAAATATAATTACACATGGATTCTTATGCAACACCCTTAAGCTAAAAAGTTGGTTGGATGCAAATGGGTGTTTAACATCAAATACAAAGCTGTTGTAATGTTGAAAGATTCAAAGTGAGACTTCTTGCAAAATGTTTCACTCAAACCTATGACATTGACTATCAGGAGACCTTCACAACAAGTATCAAACTAAACACTATCAAAATTCTCTTTTCATTAGCAGTTAATAAGTAGTGGAGACTGCGTCAACTTAACATAAAAAAATGTCTTCCTGAATGGTGATCTGGAAGAAATGTATATGAAGATACCACTAGGATTTGAGAATGATTTCAATAAGCACTTAGTATGCAAACTCAAGAAGTCTCTTTATGGGCATAAGCAATCACCAAAAGTGTGGTTTAAAAGGATTGCTAAAATTATAAGATCTAATGGATATTCTCAAGATTAAGTTGATCATACTCTATTCATAAAACACACTCAAGGAGGTAAGATTGTTACATTGATAGTATATGTGGATGATATGATTATTACTAATGATGATGAAATTGATATTCTCATGATTAAATGAGTGCTTTCCATTGAATTTAAAATCAAGAACCTAAGAACCATGAGATATTTTCTAGGTTAGAGAGAAATTTCCAAGAAATGCATCATTATATCATAGAGAAAATATATCCTAGATCTATTAAAGAAAATAGGGATGATTGGATGCAAGCCTGCTTATCCTCCAGTGGATCCCAACAAGAAGTCTAATAGAGGAGAAGAAAGTGTATCTATGGATAAGGGAAGATATCAAGGATTGGTAGGAAAATTCATCTACTTGCCATATACGAGGCCATATATTGCATACTCTTTGTCAGCATTGTAAGCCAACACCTGAATATTTGAATAGCATTTGAAGATAGTGTATAAGATTTTGATGTTTCTCAAGAAGACTCTTGAATATGAATTAATTTTAGGGAAAATAAAAAATAACAAGGTAGAAGTCTACACTGATGCAAGTTGGGCTAGGGAACTCAACTGACAAAAGTTCAAACATATGTTTTTGCCCCTATGTGTGATGAAATATGATTACATGGATAAGGGAATAGATCAAAGATTGGTAAGAAAGCTCATCTACGTATCACAAACAAAACCATGTATTGCATACTCTATCAGCATTGTGAGCCAACACATGAATAACCCAAATGAATATCATTTGAAAATGGTGTACAAGATTTTAAGGTTTCTCAAGAAGACTTCGGATTATGAATTAATTTTTGAGAAAACCAGAAACAAGTTAGAAGTCCACACTGATGCAAGTTATGCTTGGAAACTCACTGAAATTAGGTCAACTACAATTTTTGCTTTTATGTATAGGGAAATCTGGTTACATGGAGAAGTAAGAAGCAATTTGTTTCTAGAAGCCGTGTTGAATAAGACAATTATCTTAGGAATCTGTGAAGGGACCTAGATTTAGAAATTAATAAAGGAATTAGTGTGCACCTGTAATATGCCTAGACATATGTTTTGTGACAGCCAAGTTGTCATCAGTATTGCCAAAAATCTAGTGCATCATGACAGGACCAAACATATTGAAATTGATTGACACTTTATCTCTGAAAAGGTAAATGGCTAAATTAAAAATATAAGCTACATCCCGACACACGAACAAGTTACTGATGCCCTCATCAAATTTCTGCCTTCAAGCACCTTCTCAGAGTTCAATACCAAGCTTGCTCTTTATAACATCTACGACCTATCTTGAGGGGAGAGGGGGGAGTGTGGAAAACTGAGAAGTTTGACTCCTCTCCATGGTGGGCCGACCGGTTGCTTCACAAAATCCTGGAAAGATTTGATTGGGGATATCTTTGGAAATACCTTTTTTATTTTTATTCCCTTGCCCTTTTATGTTTCTTTATTTTTTATTTCAACAATTGTTCCATTTCCTAATTTAAACTAGATATATTTGGTAAGTTCGTAAATTAGGAGGGATTGGTTTAACTATATATATATGTGCCCTACATGTGAATAATATATGAAGTATTTTTCTTCCCAAGTTTTGTTTTCTACATATCTTGAATGAGGAATGATTTTGGATACAAATTAGGTTATGTAAGAAAATCTGACAATTGAAAACTGGTTTTAACAAGCTTCCAATCATAAGAGCACTGAATATGGCTTTTTCTTTATAGTTAGAGAGCAATTGAAATTATACTTTCTTCGAAGTAAATACTTGAAATTGAATATGTTTTGATTATTTCTTGAAATTCTACAAAAAAAAATGGAAGATTGGAATTACGCCAAAAAAGAAATGCTCTTATAATTAGTATGATAAATTGCTAGGACAATGCAAACTTAAGAAATAAATAAATGGAAACTAATATTAAATAATTTGATTGATGAGATGGTTTTTGTGATATACTATATGCATGCACAGAGAGACTTATGATTTTGCAGAATCTTAAATGAAAGATCTATCCCTTCTAATGTGCTTGACAGAAAAAAATTGATGCCGCTTTGGGTCTAGAACAACAATCTTGTTCTGATTTTTGTTCTAAAAAACTGGAGTACTTATTGATACTTATCTATTCTATATGCTACTCGTGTTTGATTGGTTAAAGTAATAATTCGCATGAATGGTTGTGCTTCAAGTGTTTTTTATTTTGACATCAGTTATATTTCACAATTAGATTTTCATTCTGGCTTTTACTTGTTGATACTTATCCATCAGATTTTCTTATGAGAAATATAGAAATTTTGGATTTCCTGTGCTTGATTTACAAGTTCTTCATTATACCCAAAACACATCAAAATTTTGTTATTTTTCTCATATTCACCTATTCTTTTACAGTTACTGCTGTTGAAAATGGTTTAGAAGCTTGGCGAGTTTTACAAGATCTAACGAATCACATTGATCTAGTTTTGACGGAGGTGGTTATGCCTGGTGGGTCTGGAATTGGTCTTTTATACAAAATCATGAGCCATAAAACTTGCAAGACTATTCCTGTAATTAGTAAGTAACCCTTGCAATAACTAATCCAAGCATACAACAAAACATTTGGTTTTGATTTAGATTTGTATCCAAGTAGCTTGTACTCCGACGACTGGTGTGTTTTTTTTTTGCAGTGATGTCATCCAATGATTCCATGGGTGTAGTATTTAAATGCTTGTCAAAAGGTGCTGTTGATTTTTTGGTCAAACCTATTCGCAAGAACGAGCTTAAGAACCTGTGGCAGCATGTATGGAGAAGATGCCACAGTGTAAGTTTATTGTTAGGGTTTTATCTTGCATTTCCCATGCACTTTTAGGTAGATAATCTTAGGTTGTGTTTTAACAATTGACTCATTGTTCAATATGATTCAATTATGACAAATATTTTTATTTGGGAAATTTACATACCTAGCACACAATTCTTATATATTTACATGTTTCGCACCTAAATTTTCATATTTATACATGTAGCACTTTTTTGCTTTAAGCTTATGCATGAAAAGGTGTATTTCACTTTTAAAAAGTGGTAACAGTGCTAATTTTGTTATAGTAAAGATTTGGGTGCTATATGTGTAAATATGAAAGTTCAGGCGTGAGAATGTGAGATATGTAGATATAAAAGAATTATGTTCTATGTATGTAAATGCCCTGTTTATTTCAATATTCTCTCTTTTTATAATTGATGTACTTTGCAAATTTCTTTCCTGAAATGATATAATTATATTTAGCTCAACTTCGCTGGTTTATCTAAGGTTGTTTCAATGTTAGTCTACTTATGTACAAAGCAGACTTATTTTCTCGTAAACGGCCGTCATATGAATCCTTTGCGCTTCCTTTGATTATATGCCCTTCCTTTGATTATATGAAGTTAGTGTAATTTCTCTACTGCAGAGGTCATTGTCTTCCCAGCTAGAGAGTCGAGGATAACCTGGACTCCTATTCCCAAAATATTGAACTTCAAGAAAAAAAAGAACCCTTTACTCTGTACTATCTTTTTGGAAGATTTACATACTTACCTCTCCATTCTTATGTATTTACATATCTAACACCTAAACTTCAATTTTTACTTGTATATGCCACTATATCTATGCATAAAAGGGTGTATTTCACTTTTTTAAAGTTAAGATAATTGTATTATCTGTTGTGATATGAAAGATTTGAGTGGTGTAAATGTAAAAAGTTCAGGTGTTAGATATTCAAATACATAGGAATTGGGTGGTAAGCATTTAAATGCCCCCATCTTTTTTTATACTGGTTGGTGTGTCCAGGTGCGATGTTTAGCTCAGCCTTGTCATGGTAGCAATCTTTTTGTTAAAGCAGGGAAGTTTGCATATAGCAAACCTTCCCATACCTCACATTTATATCAATTTTTTGGTCTTTATTGGCAGTAATGTTTCAATATTTATTCTTTTGTTGCATTGTTTTTCACATTATCTTAGTCTAGCGGAAGCGGAAGCGGAAGCGAAAGCGGCATACAAGGGCAAAAATTTACAATGTCAAAGAGCGAAGATGATTCTGATAACAATACTGGTAGTAATGATGATGAGGACGATGCTAGCATCGGGTTGAGTGTGAGGGACGGGAGTGATAATGGAAGTGGCACTCAGGTAATTTATCGCGTATGTATTATCTTTCTCAGGTGGTCACAGAACAATTGCTTTATTAGAAAATTTGTGTAGAATCTTAGCGCTAATCACATTAAACCTCATCTACCTCTTTATATAAATTGCAAATTGATCTGAGAGAAAGTTCTTTATTTCGCCATTTGTGTTTGAATTTCTTTGGCATGACTCAATCACTGATGTTGCGCATTTTTTATTGTTCTGTTTCCTACGCTTAGGACGTGAATTAAGAAGGTCCAATAAGAAGCTCGTTTCTTTGGAATAACTTGTTTAGATCTGCTGATTATTTGAAGTTTCTTTAGTAAAATATGCTTCAATTAATTCTTAATTTTTTTTCATTTATAATCATTTTTTAGGAAATAATAATCATTGTTCATAGGACTCTTGGACATTTATAGCTTCATCTGCTCTTACAATTCATGCTTATGCTTCCAAGATTGTGGGTGCAAACATAGACACATGCATGTATCCGTTAACATTTTTTTTTTATTTTTATTTTTTGCTCTTTTCTTGTCTGCTTTATGTTGAACATCCTAAATTATGGCATATACACGCACCCTAATTAAAAAAAAAAAAGAAAACTGCACGTGGAGTCTCTACAATTTGTTCCACTCTTTCAATGTTTTTATTGTTTCATTCTTTTTATTGTTGCGGCAGTGTTAAATGATATATGTAGAAGTGGAGGAAATACCCCAATGATGATCGTGTTAAAAAAAATCATAACTAGAGAGCATACTATTATCAAAACATTCCAAAATTCTAATACAATTTTTTTTGGGCTTAAATTTAATTAAAATATGAAGAATTCAAGAAAATTATGAAATTTTAAAATATCTAAATAATAATTTTGTCACTTAAAGATAAAGAGCAAAAATTTATTTAACTTCAGGAATAATTTGTCGAATGTGACAAATTTAAAATTAATTTAAGCTCATAAAGTGTCAATACCATATTTGATGTATCTTGATGATCTCTCTTAAAAAATTTCTTGTGAATTAAGATGTGTCGCGTAATTTCTAACCGAGTTTTTTTGTCCTCAAATAGCATTACAAAAGTATGGGTATAATTGTGACCCTTTGATTGGATGTTTCGTCGCAAAATAATATCACTGAAGTATGGTCAATACTGAGCCCAAAAGTTGCAATGGTCTAAATCCCTTGAGTGGTAAATTATAGAGTACACCTAATATGATACAAAAGTCTTTATTAGCTCAAGTTTAACTTAAATTTGTCCCTTTAGGCAAGTATACCTAAGTTTGCAAGGTCCTGTTGAATGACTCCATACATGATTGCTTACAATAATATTTTGGTTAAGTTGGTTTACTACTTTTATGTGTTAGCAGTCACATTTTTAAAATATTTTATGTTCAAGGTATCAAAATATAATTAATGTTTGAAACTTGAAGAAATACTACATGTAGCAGCTCATTTAAAAAATGTTGTATCCAAAATATCCTTATAAGTCGGGCTATAAGTGAGTTGAGCTTGAGTGAGCTCAGGGTTGGCTCGCGTTCGGCTCGTTTGAAATTGCGTGTGCTCAAAATTGGCTCGTGTTCGAAATTGGCTTGTGAATAGTGTGTTTTTATTTGGCTTGCGTACGGCTCGAAATTGATTCGTTAAAATTAATTGGAAAAAATAGATGTAGAGTGTTGGATTCGAACTTGGACCAAATCTATGCAAACAAAGGCGCATAACTACATTACCATACAAACTGTTATGATGAAAACTTAGATATAAATATATATAATGTATTATTATATAAATAATTATATGATTTTTTTTTTATTTCGAGCTAAAATGAACTGAGCACGAGCGAATAAAGAGTTGTTCGTGTTTGGCTCGTTTTTAATTCGAGATTAAAAAATTTGTTCGTGTACACGAACTACTTAACGAGTCGAGCACGAGCTGTTCACGAATAACAAGCTTTTTGAAAGCCCTACAAGAAGTATGTAGCCTGATCCAATTTTATGTATAAATATTCTCTTGAATCTCTAGTAACAAGAAATCTTCTTTAAATTATCATGAAAGTCCCTCTATAAGATAAGTCATTTTTACATGTTTAATAGTTATTAATCGTCAGAATATCCTCTATAGGATAAGGAGCATTTTTTTAATTCTCTATTTAAAAATTGCCCAACTTCCCCTTTAAGATGGGTGGCTTATATATATATATATATATATGTATTTGAGTTGACATTGCGTTTTATGTTGAGATATCCATATTGGTATTTAAAACTAGTTTCGAAACAAGATGTATGGAAGATGCTTCCAAAAGACAGGTGTTTATCTCTTTAGGCTGAATAAAATTTTGAATATCAAGTGAGTTACTTTCAAAATTGTAAGCTACAATTAGTCAACTTAGAGAAACTCAAGTTTTCCTAGCTCAAATTTATGGTTTTAGTGGGTCTTCAAGATCGCGCTAAACAAGCTTAAATATAATTGAGTTGTTGATCGCTTCTCACTTATAAAAATTCACAGTAAGAGTCATTGTTTTGAAATTCTGATGATGAGAGCTATCAAGTTCCAAGTTTATCTAGTCTGATGTGTTTAAGCGACCCAGGTTCAGAAGATTCTCTTGATTGATTGACGAATTAAGGTCAGTTCAACGAGATGATCTTCATACAAGTAAACATGCATGCAATTATGTGAAGAGATTTTTAAATAAGCAACCTCTAAGACTTTGAAAGGAAATGATTCTCACTCAAGCAAGCATCAGGCTGAGTGTAGGGCCTTCATCAAATTTAAACATCAATTTCCTTCAATAGGTTTGATTAAGCATAAAGCAAATATTGAAGGAACCTCTTTTCAACAAATTAGGCCAAATAGAAGACCAAAAGGTCAACCCAATGTTCATGCAAAGCCTGAGGTTGAACCCTGCGATTGAGACATTTTAAGCCTATTTTTTGTTTTTTTTTCTAATAAACCAAGTTCTCTTAATTGTAATTTCAATGCTTCAGATGTGTTGAAACGCTCTGTTTTGTGAAATGAGCCATGATTGTCGGATTTTGATTATAGTTGGAAGTGTTTCGAGTTGAACTCGTGTGATGTTGCATCCTTTGTCCTGGTCTTCATCGCATTCGATCTCAGTTGATATGAAATAGTTATTGATCTCAACAATATTTTATGGATATTAGTTTATTCTTTGTTGTAATTCTATTTGTTGTGTTATATCTATTGTAATTGAACAATATTAGAATCTATACTATTTAAACCCGACTATAGTTTTATTCGAACCTCATTAGAACCCTATAACAATTTTTTCAAGTTGTATTTGAATCTTATTCGAACAATGTTTGATCCTATCTTTGAATGAGGACTCAAGTAAAATTTGAGCATGGTTCTAAAGTATTTCAATTTTTTTCTAAACTATAATCATCTTCTTAAAAGCTGTAATTTTAGTATTTTTATGGTGTCCATCATAGGAATATTCTATTTTGCATTCAGAAATTTCATGTGTGTAAAATAACTAATATTTTGGATTATTAATAAATAACCATAAAACCCAATTAAACTATCAAATTCAAGAGGTTAAAAAGTATATCTTAATTCCATTGTGCCATATGTCAACTAAACTTTTGCAATTTCCTTATTTTGACAAACAATCCGAAGAATGCCTTTTTTTTTTTTCACTTATTGATGGCCAGTTTAAATTTGTTTTTACAATGATGCTAGTTATGATATTAAAGGATAAATTTGGAAAGATTAAATGTTCACCACCTTTACTCTAGCTTTGCATATTATATATAATTTTGTATGTAATTTCTCCTCTGTTTCAAAAACTTCTCTATCAGATTTAGAAGAAAAATCTGAGAAATCTCAAGTTAGAACTGCAATATACCATCTCTTAATTTACCACGTATGATGGCTGAACAGGGCAAATGCTTTTATTTTGGAAAATTTACATACACACCCCTCAATTCCTATGTATATACATATCTAACACCTAAACATCAATTTTTGCATAGACACCACTTTAGGTATGCATGAAAAGGTGAATTTCACTTTTTAAGGGTCTGTTTGGGGCAGCTGCAGCTTATCCTGATAATCTGCTGATGAGCAGCTGATCCAGATAAACTGGCTGGCTGTTTGGTTTGTGCATTTATAAAACAATTGATTATGGATAAATGACTATTTTGCCTCTGTTGTAGATGAGTTGTTTAGCTGTTTAGTTTGTGCGTTTTGTAAACAGTTTATTTGCAGATTTTTTTAGTTAAATGAACAATCTATCACGCTGAATTTATAATTTTCTCAATAAAATTAAAGTTCAAATGTTAATACATGAAAATACAAAAGAGTTAAGTTACATTTATATAACTCAAAAATTTTCTATCATATCAAAGAAGCACGGTTACATATACAAAAGTAAAATACATCTTCACTTACTAATATGTAGTATAATGAGACACAAAAAAAAGAAAAAAATAACATGTTAATGACTAACCACATTCGTTACATCATACACAATTATAGTCGTTGCGGCACCCCTATAATACATCTGAGCTAAACTACGATATCTCTTCTGTCCAACAGTATCTCAAATCTCAAATTTCACAGTTTGATCATTAACTACCAAAGTCTGCGAAAAAAAATTGACTTGTCGGTTCCAACATCTCTTAAAAGTAACGGTTTTTCCCAAAGTCAATGTTAAAAATCCAACAACGGGGATTTAATCAAAATTGTCATCCTGCTACAGAAGACTAGTTCAAAACCATAAAGAAGAAGGTTTTCATTTCAATACTGTTCTTTGTCATCAACACAAAACTATAATAAGAAAATTTTACAATCCTACGAAAAAAGTTAAAGATGGGAAACAAGGCGATATAAACGAATTTAAATGAAAACTAAAGTTTGATTCTTGTCAAAAAATACATATTTAATTCGAAAAATTTTGTTTAAATCTATTTCCGCCAACATAAAAACAAAAAGGAAACCAAGAATGTAGTGCATGTAGGACAAGTACCCAACGGTTCTGATGCAAAAACAAAATCAAATTCAAAATTTTTTATATTAAATATGCAAAATATAAGAAATACCAAAGATTGATCGAAAAAATACTCACCAACTTGGCATTGTTTACCTTGTTTTCAATCGCCGACGCCATTATCTTGAGAATCAGAAACTGCAGAGAAGAAAAGGAACAGAAAAAAACGAGGATATCGCAGTGTAATTTGAGAGACAAAAGCAGCAGACAATTTCTCTCTTCTGGAATGCAGAAGGAAGCATGGAATGCCGAAGGAAGCATGGAGAGGCTAGGGATCGCGAGCTAGGGCAGTGAGAGCGGATTCGCGATTGCTTCTGCTGTTAGGAATGTCGAAGGAGCTGCGAACGACAGGGGTGGAATAGACGAGATGGTTGCGAGTGCGAACGACAGAGGGTAGATCGGAATGCTGAAGGAAGCAGGGAGAGGCTAGGGATCGCGAGCTAGGGCAGAGAGGGCGGATTCGCGATTGCTTCTGCTGTTAGGAATGTCGAAGGAGCTTCAGACGACGGAGGGTGGAATAGACGAGATGGTTTCGAGTGCTAACGACGGAGAGTAGATCGAGCGAGGAAGCGGAGAGAAGAAGGGCGCAGAAGAGCGGAGAGGAGAAGGGCACCGAAGGAAATATTTTTGAACGCCAACTCAAAAACGCGGACTGCGGGGTCTTTGGCACGGCTGGCGTTTATTAACAAATCAAATAAGTTGTTTTTAAAATGCAATCGAAACGTGTTAATCAAACAGAACGGCGACATTTTTGAAAACGTTGTCGCACTTATAAGCTTCCCCAAACAGACCCTAAATGTTTAAATGGTGGAACTTTTTATGTGATATGGAAGATTTGGTGGTATAAATGTAAGAAGTATAATTTTGGTCTCAGATATGTAAATTCATTAGAATTGAGTGGAATGTTTGTAAATGCCCCATTATTATTAGAAAGCACTTACTGACAGCGGTTATAAATTCGCAGAGCTCCTGTACAAAACGTGCTTTTGAAGCTAGTAACCCACAACAAATGTCTCCATCCGGACAAACTGCTGGTCCACATTATAGTACTTGCGCACAGGTTATTCATACCAGACCCGAGGCATTCTGCAGCAAGAAGGAACCAATGATTGCTGGCATGGACTGGAAAGAACAGAAGACAATTACTGGTATTGTTCTTAATTCCAATCGTTCTATCTAAAAAATATTTGTTTTCTTTGGAAGATTTACATACATAACACTCAATTCTTACGTTTTTACATATCTAACACATAAACTTAAATTCTTACATTGAGAAAACTGTCAAAATAGTCCTCAAACTCTTTCTGTACAGGGTTTATTTTAGTCCTAGAATTTATAAATATGCCAGTTTAGTTCCCAGAATCTATTAATATGGTTTGAAATAGTCACATGAGAATTATTTTAGCCCTCATTTAAATAATTTGGGGATGAGAAGGTTAGGTGTTATGTATGCAAATCATAAGAATTGGGTGATATATATGTAAATGCCACTCAATTCCTACGTATTTACATATCTAACACCTAAGTTTTTGCATATATACCATCTTTCCCATGCATGAAAAGATGTATTTCACTTCTTAAAAGTTAAAAAGTGATATTTTTGTAGCGATATGAAAGATTTGGGTGGTATATATATAAAAAGTAAGTTTTAGCTGTTAAACATGTAAATACATAGGAATTGAGTGTTATCTATGTAAATGAAATGAAATTTACATACATACCACACAATTCCTATTTATCTACTTATCTAACTCCTAAACTATATTTACACTTAAAACGCCTGAGAGTAATAAACCTATACATGAAAAGGTGTATTTCGTTTTTAAAAGTAATAAGTGGCATTTTTAATGTTATATTAAGCTTTGAGTGATATGCATGCAATATGATAGTTTTAGGTGTTAGATATGTCAATACATAAGAATTGTATGGTATGTATGTAAATGTCCCTTCACTTTATTCTTTTTATGCCTGGTATTCTCAGCAGATGATTTCATGGGCGCAGATCCTAAGAATGAATCTAACCAAACTGATATAGTCTCCACGAAACTAACTGGTCCGAGCACGGAGAAATCGCTTGAGATTCTGCCAAACAATATTGATGTAGTTCGCCATACAAATTACAGCGCGGTCAATGAACCATGTGCTCGAGCTCCAGATCGACTCGATAGCAGTTCCATAAACACAAACCAACAATTGGTTTTCGGTCCCGCCGACACCTCCAAAAATTTCCTAAAAATCTCAGATATCAAAGATAATGGATCAATAGAGCTGCCATCTCTCGAACCAAGTCTTAAGAAACTCAGATCAAAGAGTATTCCCTTAAATGACGAAAGAAATGTTTTGAAGCACTCAAACCTTTCAGCATTCTCAAGGTTAGCTATCCATTGTTTGGGAAATTTATATAACATACCATACAATTCTTATGATACAATTCTTATGAATTTACATATCTAGCACCTAAAGTTTGATATTTACACCTTTGAGTCATAAACCTATGCATGAAAAGGTGCAAACATTTCATTTAGAAAAGGATATTGGGGGTGGTATTTTTTATGCGAAGTTAAAGATTTGAGGGGTATGAATGTTTAGGTGCTAGATATGTAAATATGTAAGAATTGTGTGATATGTATGTAATACCTTGTGTCATAAACTTATAACACCTTGGTGTCATAAACGTACGTATGAAAAGGTGCATTTCACTTAGAAAAAGAGTATGGTGGTATTTTTGATGTGATGTTAATGATTTGAGTGGTATGTATGTAATTGTGAATGTTTAGATGCTAGATATGTAAATACATAAGAAATGTGTGGTATGTATGTAACATCTTGGTTTTCTAAACTTGTAACACGTTGGCGTCATAAAAGTATGCACAAAAAGTTGCATTTCACCTGGAAAAAGATAGTGATGATGGTATTTTTGATGCGATGTTAAAGGCCCGAGTGGTATGCGTGTAATATGAATGTTTAGTTGTTAGATATGTAAATACATAAGAATTGTGGGGTATGTCCATTAACGGCCCTTAATTTTTGCACCTAAAATAGTTTGAGCTTATTCTCAACTTTAACATAATTGCGCAGGTATCCTGCTTCAGCAGCCTCGGTTCAAGCCCCTACAATCTATGGAGGAAACTCTGTACTTGATAACAGCTCCGAAGCAACTCCCCAAAATCAGGGATCTAATGGTAGCAGCACTAACAACAACGATAACGGTTCAACTAACATAAATGTAGTTTCGAAACCTGCAATATTCGCATCCGCATTATCATCAGCCTTTCATCGAGTTGAGGCTCAAAGTTCGACTGTTCAACCCAACATGACGGAAATGATTGGACAATCAAGGGGAACACAAAAACAAGTGCAGGTCCAGCACCATCATCATCATTATCATCACTACCACCACCACGTCCACGCTCTGCCACCCCAACCAGATCCGGACGGCTTCTCTGTCGAAAACCTGAAAGAGAACGTTGCTTATTGTAACTCGTCGAATGTATTTACGACACCAGCTGAAATGAATGCGGCTGACTATAGTTTAAATGACAGTAATTCGAGGAGTAATCATGGGAGCGACGGGCAGAATGGTTGTAGCACGGCCATAAATACCGTAGGAGGGAATGTGGAGAATGTTGCCGTAGCTGCAGCCGAGAAGAATGGAGTTGGAGGCGGGAATGGGAGTGGGAATGGAGCGTATCAAAATCGTTTTACACAGAGAGAGGCTGCCTTAAACAAATTCAGGCAGAAGAGAAAAGAAAGAAACTTCGGCAAAAAGGTAATGTGCTTATTATGACTGAATGTCCAATCATTTTTTGTTATCATGTCATTCATTTCTTCATCGGTTGGAAACTTGATGCTTTATGTTTTCATATGCAAAGCATTTAAAAATCATATTTGAAAGCATAATCTTGTTCTCATACAAAGCACCGTAGTCTCGCCCATCTTTAAGCTTGGGATATAAAACCTCTATGCTGGAAAAATTCTCTATGTGTGCGGACTCCGGACGTAGCTCTATGTGCGGACTCCCAATAGTATACCTCTATGTGTGTTATATCGAGCCCATCTAAAAAAATATTAAAGTTGAACCGCAGACTCCACAATAACTCCAAAATAACCTTCGCGGTGTTATTTCGGGGTTATTGAAGTGGAATAAATGTGTTTCTCTTCAATAACCCCGAAATAAGACTGGAGAGGTTATTTCAGAGTTATTTTTGGGTTATTTCGGGGTTATTGAAGTGAAATATATGAATTTCTTTTTGAAAACCCCGAAATAATCTCAACGGTGTTATTTTGGGGTTATTGAAGTGGAATTGCTTATGTTATTTCGGGGTTATTGAAGTGGAATATATGAGTTACTCTTCAATAACCCTGAAATAATACCGAAATAACCTCTGCGGTTCCACTTCAATAACCTTGAAATAACCTCCGCGATGTAGCACACGTGGCGGCATATTATTGTAGTCCGCACGTAGAGCTACGTCCGGAGTGTAAAAAGTAAATTTTTTCCATACATAGCTAGGATAGCATATGTGTAAGAATTGAAGTTTAGGTATTATATATGTAAATACATCAATAATTGAGTGGTATGTATGTAAATCTTTCCCTTTTATAAAAAATTTGTGGGTGTAATATTAATGAAATTAGGATGTTAAATCTTCACAAGACGAGAACTTGTATGCAATTTTTGTTTTGGTGCATTAATATTTAACCTTTTTTTTATTTTTTGTTCTTTTTCGCTCTATGTTTGAATTAGGTTTTGGCCATTTGTTACTTTTGCCTGGGGGGCACTGACATACATACCACCCAATTCCTTAATATTTACATATCTAACACATACACATTTCCTTTCCTTCTGGCATTGCAGGTGCGCTATCAGAGCCGGAAGAGATTGGCGGAGCAGCGGCCGCGTGTTCGCGGCCAATTCGTCCGCCGGATTATCCGCAACGACGACCACGAAGAAGACTGCTCGCACCTAATGCTGGATTGATCACCTGCTGTATATAAGAGCCATTTCAAAGTCTGAAACCTTGGAGATGGAGATGGAGCTTGTTATCAACAATATTAGCCAGGTTCATTGAAACCCCCATTTTTTTTTCCATTATTAGTGCCTTCTAAATCTTAATTTCTGTTCTTCAAGACCTCTTAATTGTCTCCTGGAGTAACCAGGATATGTTCTTATGATACTTCTGCTTCCAGTGTGGTTTGTGTACTGATTAATCAACTCCTAGGCTCCATTAAGGTAAATACTGAATCCCCTTGTTTGTCTCTCCATTTACATAAATACCACTCAATTCCTATTTATTTACGTATCTGTCATCTAATGTTTGATATTTACATTTATAACAGCTCGGTGTTATAAAACCTATTGCATAGAAAGATGCATTTGACTTTATAAGTTAATAGAAGTGGTGTCTTTGTGGTGATGTTAAAGATTTGTGGTATGAATGTAAATATTAAAATTTAAGTGTTGGATATGTAAATACATGGTATGTTATATAATTCAACCAACCCAGTTAGTCAGGATGAAAACATAATTGAACAGTTTTTATGTTATATTATGATGGGCTTGCTCATTTTTTTATTATTTACTATACTTTCAGTTCATTATTCAAGTAACATTCAATTAAAAAAATGGAATTTTTATGTATTTACATATCCAACACGTAAAAAGTTTAATGTGTTATAAACCTATACATTATATGCAATTATGAAAGCTTAGGTGTTAGCTATGTAAATATGTAAGAATTGTGGGGAGTGCGTAAAAAAATCCTTAGCAATTGATGATGAAATGACTGCTAAGGCACTTCAGACTAAGGGGAAAAATTATTATGTCAAAACTCCTAACGTAGAGAATCATTCGGAGTCTAATGAAATTACGCCACGGTGACATAAAAAAATATAAAATATGTTTGGTAACACAAAAGAAATATTTCTTCTGTGTTATTCAGGTGTTATTGTTTGTTATTCAAGTTTTATTGATGTGTTATTTTATTATTATAACAACGTGAATTTTTTTTTAACACAATAACGCCTGAATAATATATAATAACACTTGAATAATACGGAATAAAATGGGAGAAATATTCCCGTGTTACGAGGCCAATTTTTATTTTTTTTCTGTCAGGCGTGATTTCATTGAACTTTAAATGGTTCTCTATGTTAGGAGTCTCGACAGAATATGCGCTCCATGCTAAGTTGCTCTCATTTTTATTTTGCGTTTGTGTTTGTTTTGTATTTTGGGATGTTCATCAATTCAGCTGCAATTTCTTAGAAGATTTTTTATTGAACTTTCAAGAGTAAATGTTATTTAATTACTTTTTAGTTTTTTATTATTATTATTTATTATTGTTTTCTAAGTGAGCTTGCCTAATATGGTGGTGATTAAGTCTGATGTGTATGTTTTGCCTAAATTTATAAAAATTATATATTTTTTAAATTTGTAAACATGATATATACACACGCGCACACGCACACACACCATATAATTCATATGTATTTATGTCTAACATCAAAAATCTCTAGTTTCATAAACTTATGAGTTTGACCTGAAAGAAAAATTTTATACGATGGTTATTAGACTTGCAATACATTATGGCGCGGAATATAGGCCTTTAAAATTAAAGTATAAATTCAAGTTAAGTATTGTTGGGATGTGAATGCTTAGGTGGATGAGTGTCTTTAGATAAAATGTGAAACAAGTATATAAGTGAAAGGGTCGGTGTAACTCCTATGGCAAACAAGATTACAGAAGGTTATCTTAGATGGTTTGGTCACACTGAACGCCGATCACCTGATGATTAGGGTAGGAGAGTAGATGTTTTAAATTTGATTTCTGTTAAAATAGGTAGAGATAAATCTAAAAGAACCTGGGCATGTGTATAAAAAATGCTTTTAATTTGCTCGAATTAAATGAAAATATGACACTTAGTAGGACACAATGGAGAAAAAAAGGTTCAGGTAGTCGACTCCACTTAGGGTGCATTTGGGGTAGTGGTGGTGTGGTGTCGTACCATAGTTCTTTCTGTTTGACAAAATTGTATTTTGTTTGCGTTTTCAAAAAACCGCAACCAAACACTATATTTTCTCACAATATCTGGCTACTTGTGATGGCTATTAGAAAACAGTGATTTGTATAATAGTAACCGCAACTTTTTGAAAAAACAACTTAACTACTGTTTCAAGCAATTGAAACTGTCTCAAACAGACTCTTGTTGGAATAAAAGTTTTGTTTGTTATTTGATTTTGAATAAAGTTATTAATAGTAATATTTTTTTATGCCATTGAACAATTGAATATTATTGTAGATAAATATGAAATTTTAGGTTTTAGATACTTAAATACATAGAATTATGTGGTATGAATATAAATGCCCCATATTAAAGTTTGAAGCATTGAGATTGAATATATATATATAT